GGCGATGTAAGATGAATGCAAAAACAAATACGCCAAAGACAAACTCAAACAAGCAATATGATCACGGAGTTCGGACCTTCCGTCCTACGTCTCCGCTCCCCACTCCCGGGGAGAAATCCACTAACACAATCCGGTTTGGAAGCCGGAACTTCTTCTACACACTCGGTTTTCTAGCTAACCGAAAACTCTACAACTCACACTCTTGCAATCACACTCTACACCCACTAAGTGTTGGAACCGACGCCCCTCCTCTTGGGACGATCCCCGACTCTCACCACACACTCCTCTCGGTGTATAAGTGTATTACAAAGTGAATCTCACAATAAGTATAATATAAATCAATTGATTGTTCTCTAAACAAGGTGAGAACTCAATTAAGTACAACTCCTAGTCACAAACCCACAACCCAAAATTATACTATGAATGTAAATACAATAAGCTCAAAAGGTTGTGTATGAACAAAGAGATATAAATCAAAACTAAACTCAATGTAGTTCTAGCTTAATAATAATGATAATCAAATATATAAAAGAGCTAGAAATAGAGTTTAGAAAACTTCTCAATATATCAAGAGTTGGAGGGAGAATAGTTGAATGCCCAAACACCAATAGATGATCTCCTCAAGCTCTTGTGAAATTGATTTCTTAAAAACAAACTCTCAAATGCTTAAAAGCTTTTTAAACAAACTTAAACCAAACATAAACCCTTGTTAAAACTTTCTTAAACTTGTTTTAAAACTCTCATTGGTTAGTTGAAGAGCTGAAGGCAATGGGGTATTTATACCCTCTCAAAACTCAGCCAAAACTCCCAAAACAAAAGACCAAAAACACCCCAGCAACGGTAACAAAAATAGCCGTTGGAAGCAGTCAGAACGAGCGGCGGTCGACCGAAGAAATTCGCGGTCGATCGACAGAAACGATCGGTCGATCGACGGAAATTTCGGTCGACTGCTATCCAGGTCAAAAACGAGAAAAAGACAAGCAGACTTATCCGGTCGACCGGTGCGGTCGACCGAAGGATTTAAAGTGCTGTTTAAAAATATCAAATAAATTCCAAAAAATGTAAAACTTTGGGGAATGATTATAGACATGATAATAAACATGCTACAGTGACTAGTTATCAGAAAGGACTTCCCAAATGTAAAATATCATCATTTTGCAAGGAGGTCCAAAACACGAAAATATAAACACATGAGTTTTGACATTTTAGCTAAACCATGTTTTGAAACAATACAAAATGATTTTATAGACTTAAAGAAAGATGTAAACTATTGTTATGAAGTCTATAAACAATGAATGTAGTATTTTATCAAAATACACATATAATGCACTAAAACATTATTTTATTTAACTAACTAAAATTGATATTGATGAAATCATATATATGCATATGAGTATGAAACAAAAATATGTTTTCTAATTATATTCAATTGTTTCATAGTAAAACTTGAAAACTATCAAACCAAAATATATATATATATACAAAAACCAAAACGTGTATGTGTGTATATGATTGAGCTTAAAGTACTAACACACATAATATAAATTCCTAAACTAAATTACCCAAGCAATGATCTTGATATTCAATAAGCTTGACTTGGTAATCTCGCGGATGAAGCTTGAACTTGGATCTTGAACTTTGAATAGCAAGGCTTCACCGACATTCCGCCAACCTCCTTCGGATATGATCGTTGAAGCTCTATTCCATCCATCCTCCAACAACGTTGTTTGTTTACAAAATATAGGAATGCACAAACACTAGACAAACAACATTAGTAATAAATTGTTTGTTAAGCATCATCAAAACAAGAAGGCCAACAGTAAGGAATGTGAAGATATATGGCGTGCTCTCATCCCGATTATATGCTTTGAGATTGTTGAAATGCACGTGCCTGACTGTGTGCTTCGACAATTTGGACTAAAGCAACATATGCTAGACCCAGTAGAAAGAATAGAGTGAAATCCCAGAAAAGGAGCACATCATGCAAATTGGGAATTAATTCGCCATGCTTACATCTAGAATTGGGAGTTGAGGTACAAGGCTATAGTGATGGAGAGGGTTGACGCACCTGACCTAGGTGTGTACTTGTGGTGGTATTGGGGAATTTCTCGCCGATGGATATTTCAGGAGAGCAAAGTCCCTAAGGAGTACATACCAAGAGGTCCAGTTGAGAGAGAGTTGGTAAGTGTATAGGTAAAATATACAAGTATTTTGTGATTATTATTTTATTACCATCCACTTGCTAATAATTCTCTTTTGCTTTTTATCTTATAGGTACAAGAGCTTGATGAGGTTGCTACTATTACACATGATGCATTAAGAACGACTACCGAGCTAGAGGCGAGGAACGAGTTCCTTCGCATCATAAAAAAGATCCAGTCCCCTCTTAAGAGGACGCGTAATGCAAGACGTGATGGACGTGAGGAGCGACTCATTGGGTACGGGCGTCGACAAGTTCGAGGACACATGGGAGCAAGCTCAAGTTGTGCACATGATGAAGCTGGCGGCTCACAGCAAGCTCAAGCTGGATGTTCACAGCAGGTTCAAGTCGGATGATGTCATGCACTCCAAAGTTCACACACAACCGAACGTTGAGATCATCCGAGCTCATGTTGAAGGTGAATGGGGAAGGGAGAGAGGAAGAAGAGGGATAGGGAGAGGGAGAGGAAAGGGAGTTGTAGATATTTGTTAAGTTTCGATATTTGTTAAGTTTCAATATACTTGATAGGATGTTTATGTTTAAAATTGTTATATATCCGATTGAGTATAAGTGAATTGAATGTTACATTTGAATGTTACGTATCTGATTGATTATGGATTTTTAGTAAGTGAAATAAATGTTTGCGATTATGGATTGGTATGTGTGTTACTTGTGTTTACGATTGCATTGTGGATTGATAAATGTGTACCAAGAGTTGGTGAATTGATATGTATTAGCAGGAGTGCGATTTTCTAGCTGAGTGTGAGCTGGAAGATCTCTGCAAAATGGTTAGGGTTGGGAACCCCAACCATTTCATGCACGTTGTGCACAAAATGGTCGGGGTTCCTAACCCTGACCATTTCTGGCGTGGGCTAAACTTTCTGCTAAATGGTCGGGGTTGGGAACCCCGATCATTTTGAATTAAGCAGTTCAAATAGTCGGGGTTCCCAATCCCAACCAATTTAAACATGCGCTAAATTAGTCAGGGTTTCGAACCCTGACTAATTTTGCTTGCAAATTATCAGCGGCGTCCAAAATAGTCAGGGTTGCCAACCCCGACTAATTAGGATCACGTTTAAAAAAAGATCGACCCACTTTCTGGCCACGATACTAATGTGATGAGAAAGTGAGTTGCTTTTTGTAATAAAGTTTGAATAGGGTCGATTTTTTTAAAAAAATTGTGAATGGGTTTATTTAGAAAATTTGTTCAATTGAGAAATGATAATTCTCGTTCCATGCCCCCATGCGTTCCCGTTTACCTAACCAGTCACAAAGTTTCGAAATATGGGTGCCGTTTTGCTCAACAAAATCCTGGCTCTATTGAGCTTCAATTAAGGGCCCGTTTGAATAATAAAAGTATTAAAAGTAAGAAGTAGGTTATAGACGTAACTTTCAAAACTATGAAGTAGGAAGTAGTGAAAATAGCATTTTTTTTGTTTGTTTCATATATTTTTAGAAGTAATGGAAGTAGAACTTCTTCTTCTTCATTTACCTTTTTTGGTTGGATAACATTTGGAAATATTACTAGGAAGTAATTAACACATGTTTCTTCCACAATTTCAAATCCACGCCACGCTCTCTAGTTTGATCTAGCACGTTACAACCAGTTTCATGCCGTTATGACCCCTCGCCACTTGAGAGCAAGAAGAATCATTCAACCACATAACTTCAAAATAAATATTTACCTCTCGCCTACGATGAGACTCCGGATGACCATAAATTCATATGAATCTCCAATTTTCCTCCTCACTCGCTTCTTTGATCGTAACATTAACATGATATTTAGACAAAGAATTAATAGACAAACTGTTCTCTTTATCTCAAAGAAAAGCTAGCCGACGACCATCACAAATTACTACAAAATAATTGTTAAAATTAAGAGCAGTTTTATCAATGAAAAGTTGTTAGAAGTAACTAATAAAGGAAATATTAATAAAAAAAATATTTATTTCCTAACTAATATGTATTTCAACTACTTCCGAGCTACTTCTGAGTATTGAGGATTAGAAAAATATTTTGAAAGTAATGGTGACACGTAGACACCATATAAGCGTTTAAGGAAGTATTAAAAGTAAGTTTTTCAGAGAACTACACATATTTTTTTGTTTGGAAATAGCAAAAATAGTCTCGACTTCTTTTGCTTCAACTAGTTCATAATTATTTCCATACAAATAAATAGGGGTGTGCAACGGTCGGTTCGGTTCGGTTTTTACTAAAATTTGAACAACCGCACCGAACCGTCTATAATTCAAAACCGAACCGAAATGTTGCAAGTCGGTTCGGTGCGGTTCGGTTCGGTTTGTTCGATTCTAACTTCATCAAACTTCTTATCAAACAACAAACCGTGTTAAAGAAAAAAGATATCAACAAAGTAGGAGATTATGAAGCATTAAACACTGATATAATGATATTGTTTTCAACATAATGATTCAGAAAATAAGTTTAGGGTTTGAGTCTTTGACTCTTTGAGGACGGGTCGGGTAGGGTTTGAGATCATAATGGTTAGTATTGCACTATATTCGGTCGATTCGGCTCGGTTCGGGTCGGTTCGGGTTAAAAAGTTTTCAAACCGACCCGAACCGTCCTACTTATAAAACCGATTTTTTCGGGTCGGTTCGGATCGATTTGGTCGGTTTTTTCGGTTTGGACCGAACCATGCTCAGCCCTACAAATAAACGTCTATTTTAGTTAGTTCATAATTATTTCCGTGCAAATAAACATGGCTGAGCCAGCAGAAGGAGTGAAATTGTGAAAATTACTGACTTTATTTGATTTCTTTCTTCGTAACAGAAGCCGTTGATATTAGATCCCGAAACCTTCGATATCGTCTACTCCAGCACACCCCAAAGCAAGTCATTAAAAAAAATAGAAAAAGAAAAAAAATCAAATATATATATATCTCCGCCGATCTCGTCTCAAATGCCGTTGCCCTAGGGTTTTGCAAATGCCGACGGTCTCCCGATCGGCCTCCGGAGATCGCCGAGACGGCTACGGCCGAGTGGTTCACTGCAACGACCCAGGGTCCTCCGATGCGCTGGCGCTAGGTTATTGCGGCAATGCGGTGTCGACGACCAAGTACACCGTCGCCAATTTCGTCCCCAAATCCCTCTTCGAGCAGTTCCGGCGGGTCGCCAATCTCTTCTTCCTCGTCGTCGCCTGCATCTCCTTCAGCCCTTTGGCGCCGTACCGTGCTGTTAGTGTTCTTTTGCCGCTCGTTGTTGTTGTGGGGGCCACCATGGCCAAGGAAGCCCTCGAGGACTGGCGAAGAAAGCAGCAGGTTTTGTTTTTTGTTTTTTACTCGTTTCCTTTCCCTTATGTTATTGATGTGTGAAAAATAGAAAAGCTGAAATTTTGTGCAAGATTTGGGGATTAACTGAGTTGATACTATAGCGATCCTTTTACAGCCAGTTGAAATTTCCATCCGAGCGTCTTAATTTGTTTTCTTCACTTGAAAAAGGGATCAAACCAGGATGGGAAAAAAGTGGTTCGCTGCTAATGTTGTTTTCTTATAATGACTTTTCATCACCCAGCAGGCACAAGTGGTTCGCTGTTAATTTTTTGTGAAAGTAAATAAGCCTGCTGATGCATGCTCGTTTTTAAATCTATACGGTACCTTGTTGTCTGCATATATGTGAACTAAAATAATGCAAGAAATAGTACTGATAGTACATATATACATATTTAGTTACTACAATCAGTGGAATGCAGTTCTGTCAAAGGTCGCCAATCAATAGCAAAACATATTTTTTCTATTGTATTTAGAACAGATAGGTGAGACCACCATATTTGTAAAACTTGAAACCATTAATAGTGAGATTTCTTTGAGGTGAAACATATCTAAACTTTGCCAACATTCCTAAACTAGGCTTATATTATCCCCCAAAATAATCTAGAAAAATGTCGTCCGAGTGCTAGCTTTTTAGAGTCCTTCTTAAGGATATTAAGCGGTTGATGTGTGCAGTGCAAGAACCAGCCACACCTATTATAGACTATAGACATGCTCAAATTTGTGACACAGCCTCTCACCTAGTGTGAAGATGTCTAGTGAACCACATCAAAGTGTTTACTTTATTCTAATCAGTATATTTGGAAATTTGAATCTATTGCTTTTTGCCTCTTTATAATTGAACTCAATAACTTCCCAGGATATAGAGGTGAACAATCGAAAGGTCAAAGTATATGATGGCAATCATGCTTTTCACGAAACTGAATGGAAGAAACTTAGGGTAGGAGATATTGTTGAGGTGGCAAAGGATGAGTTTTTCCCTGCCGATCTGCTTTTGCTTTCTTCAAGCAATGATGGCGATGTTTGTTATGTAGAAACGATGAACCTTGACGGAGAGACAAATTTGAAACGCAAGCAATGTTTGAAGACAAGTTGTGATTTCCATACTGCAAACTCCTTCAAAACATTTAAGGCATTGATCAAATGTGAGGATCCTAATGAGAAGCTGTATTCCTTTATAGGGACTCTTTATCATGAAGGTATGCAATATCCTCTCTCACCACAAATGATTCTTTTGAGAGATTCTAAACTTAGAAACACTCAGCATATCTATGGGGTGGTGATTTTCACTGGACATGACACGAAAGTCGTGCAGAATGCGACAGATCCTCCTTCAAAGAGGAGTGCAGTTGAAAAGAGAATGGATAAGATCATTTATGTCCTTTTTATTTCTTTGGTTTTACTCTCTTCCAGTGGATCCGTTGTCTTTGGAATCAAAACTAAAAGAGATATTAGTGACGGGAAGGCAAATAGATGGTATTTAAGGCCGGATGATTCATCTATTTTCTTTGATCCAAGAAGAGCAAGTTTTGCTGCTGCGTTTCACTTTTTAACAGGTTTAATGCTATATGGCTGCTTGATCCCAATTTCATTGTACATATCGATAGAAATTGTAAAGATTTTACAAAGTACCTTCATTAACCAAGACCAGGAAATGTACTCTGAGGAATTTGATCAGCCTGCACGTGCTCGCACATCAAATTTGAATGAAGAACTTGGTCAAGTAAATACTATATTATCAGATAAGACTGGTACATTAACATGCAATTCAATGGAGTTCGTGAAATGTTCCATTGCTGGTGTGGATTATGGCAGTGAATATACTGAAGTGGAGAAGGCTGTGGTAAGAGGAGCAGACGATGGCATATGGGAATTCAATAATGCACCAGCTACTTTAAAGGGACATCTAGATGTCGCGGCTAGAAAGTTAGTCAAAGGCTTCAATTTTACAGATGACAGGTTGATGCAGGGAAAGTGGGTTAAAGAACATCATCCAGATGTTATGCAAATATTCTTCCGTGTGTTAGCGATCTGCCATACTGCAATTCCTGTGCTGAACAATAAGTCTGATGAAGTTTCATATGAAGCGGAGTCCCCAGATGAGTCGGCTTTCGTCGTAGCTGCAAGGGAAATTGGGTTTGAATTTTATCGAAAAACCCATGCGAGCATCTCTTTGCATGAATTTGATCCAAGTATTGGCAGAAAGGTTGACAGGTATTCCCATGGCATATATGCTATGTGTACAGGCATGTTTTATGTATGTACATGTGCACATGCATGAACGAGCACACAAAAACATGTTTCTGAATGGCCTTGTTTTTTGTACAGGACGTATCAACTTCTCAATGTACTAGAGTTTAGTAGTAGCCGAAAGCGAATGTCTGTAATTGTTAGGACTGAGGAGAACCAATTAATGATATTCTGCAAGGGTGCTGACAGGTATCTTTCCGTTATCAAACTTTAAAAAGGTAACAATCTGTTAAACCAGCTGACAGTTCCATGCTGTTAATCGTCATGTTTTTAGTGTAATCTTTGGCAAGCTTGATAAGGAAGTACAACTACAACCCTTTGAGTCTGCGACCAAATCCCACATTAGTAAATATTCTGAGTCTGGTTTGCGAACAATGGCCATTGCATACCGCATACTCAGTGAAGAAGAATACAGAATATGGAATGATGAATTCTCTATGGCACGCAATTCTGTTGGTGCTGATCATGATACACTGGTAGAGGTTGCATCTGAGAAAATTGAACGGGATCTGATCCTTATAGGCGCAACAGCTGTCGAGGATAGATTACAGAAGGGGGTAAGTTTCATTATGTTTCTTGCACCCATAAAAACAGATAATATGATTACGATTTGAACCATTTTCTGTGATCACATACTATAGTTCATGGGGTTCAAAAATAAGTGTTTTGCTCCCTTGCATTTTATCGACCAAGCCAAACCAAAATAATTGTATTTAAGACCTTACAACCATTGATTTTGATTGTGATGCAGACTTATCTCCATGGATTTTATGTATGTGCATGTCAAAATCGAAAGATACAACCACATCATATATTTCCACAGATATGCGACTCTTGTTGTGCACCACGTGTTTATTCACCCCCTCTTCTCTCTCACACTGGACTGCTTTAATCTTGGTCTATCATCTTTATCACTTTTGAGAATTGTCCCTTTTCATTTATAGTGGATTATTATCTGTTATGGTAGTGCTGAATGCAGGTCACCGAGGGAATCCATTACATAAAAATTATACCGCAGAGTGATTCTTTTTATGTACACAAATGAACTTGAAAACACGCATGCTTTCAGTAAATTGCACGTCTATTCGTGTTCAGGTAAAGCTTTTAATGACAACTTAGCTTTACCCTGGAATGCATTTTCTGGGCTTTATTGATTAAACTTCGCTTTGAAGAAGCGAGCACTTAGAATATTTACAGAAGAATCAAATATTTTTTTGCTGTTTTTATGCATTGGAATATGAACTTTGTGACAGGGGTGATAATGGTAGAATTTTTTTTATGTTTAGGTTCCTGAATGTATTGACAAACTTCAACAAGCTGGAATAAAAATCTGGGTTTTGACTGGTGATAAACTGGAAACTGCAGTCAATATCGGGTTTACTTCACTAATCCTTTATTCTAAACTTGAAGTCTTAATCCTGTTATGCTTTCCATTTTTGTTGTTAACTCACAGCACCCTGCAGGTTTGCATGTCATTTGCTAAAGAAAGGAATGAAGCAAATCATTATCACACTGGATGCATTGGATATTGAAGCCTCAAAGAAAAAAGACAAGAAATATGTTGAGAAGGTATAGAAATTTATGAGTGTTCCTAGAGTAGAACTGTTAGTTTACATCAACAGAGTTTCTGAAAAAGCTGGAACTTCTTTAGGCTTCACAGGAATGGATCACAAGCCAATTATGCGCAGCACAATTTCAAGTTCGATCGTCAAATGGAAGTTCTACGCCCTATGCCCTTATTATTGACGGGAACGCTCTGGCTTTTGCTCTTTCAAGTAGTCTGGAGAAACCATTTCTTGATCTGGCAGTTTATTGTGCATCTGTTATCTGTTGTCGAACTTCTCCTAAACAGAAAGCATTGGTGAGTAATTGACGTTCTTTAAATTTTGTTAACAAGTCAATTGTGCTTATTTCTAGGATGTGAGAAATCTTTGCTGCCATAGACATTTATGTAATATGATAGAAACCTAGAAGGTTTGCAGGTTACTAGATTGGTGAAAAGGAAGACGAGAAGAACAACACTAGCAATTGGTGATGGGGCAAATGATGTTGGCATGCTTCAAGAGGCCGACATTGGGATTGGTATTAGTGGAGCTGAGGGAATGCAGGTTCCTATATTTTCTTATGATATAAATATTTTTGTCAGTCTTGTGGAATTCATACTGTCTGTTGTCCTTTTAATTCTTTTTTATCTGGAACAGGAAGTTTGTACTTCGTACGATTTAATATAAAAAAGAATTGCATGCTGTTTAATCAATTTCCATGGTATTCTAGAATATGTATCCTTAATTAATGTTGGTTTTGGGTCAATAGCCATTTCTTCGGTAAAACGTTACCATTAATAGATACACTTTCATATCGTAGTTACTTGTATCTCTTTGATTTGGTAATTGCGAAAGTTAGAAATTTCAAATAAGGGGCTGTTTGTTTCGTTTCCCCCAGAATCCAAAACCCACTTTCCTTCACTTTTTCACTTTCCCCCACTTTCCAAAACCCATTTTCCTTTACTTTCTCCATTTTCCTCCAATAATATTGTGACAACTCATTCCATCACATCTCATTTCATACTTTTAAAAATAAACAAAACACAAGAAATGAGTCACATCAATCAACTCATCTAACTCACTTTCCTCCACTTTTCTTCATTTTCTATCATCTTTAAAAATTACTCACATCATCCAGTAATATGGTGACAACTCATCACATCTCACTAAAATTTTCTTCCATCACTTTACTCCAAAAAAACAAGGAAATTGATTTTCCTAAATATGTGTCACATCATCCAATAATATAATGACAACTCATCTTATCTCATCTATTTTCCCCCACTTTTAAGAATGAACCAAACACAAGAAAAGAACCTAAACAAGGAAAGTGGAGGAAAACACCAAAAATTACTCACATCAACCAATAATATGGTAACAACTCATTTTCTCTCCCACTTTCGGTTATAGCTTTGACGAACCAAACCTCTGAAAGTGGAGGAAAACATCGAAATTCACCTTCTTTTCCCCTACTTTCCCCCACTTTCGGTCTTTTTTTGCGAAACAAACAGGCCCTAAGGGTAGAATTCGGAAGTTCCAAATCTTTAGAGACTCAAGAAATTTATAGTTTTTTTAATTATTGAAAATTATCTGAACAAATACATTTTCAAATGGTAATTACTGGAAATTGTGAAATTAGAAAATTTCAATTAGAGTAGAAGTTTTGAAATACTTGATTTGGAGAGATCAAAGAATTTCCCAAGCCCATTTAACTAGTCTTACCAAAATTTCTTAGTTGGCAAATCTGGAAACTATGAGGAACTAAAGTGATATATTGTTTTTAACACTGTGGATAGATATTTTAAATTTAATTATTTTATGGTTTTACCTTATTAGCTAAGTAAATTGAAAAAGGATGTCATGGTGGCTAGAGCCTTAACAGGGCTGGATTGGCGAAAAGGATTCATGTAGTTTGATTTTGAAATAAACATTTCTTAAGTGGTGGGTGGTTCTTTATTATTATTATTATTATTATTTACCTTTTAGTTCTGTAAATTTAGTTGTAATGCAAGATCTTTAGGTAGAAGATATTATATGTAAGGGTAAATTACACTAAACCCTGAAGAAATTTTAGTATTTTGTAGTAAACCCCAATAACTTTCAAAATCATACTAAACCCTAATAACTTTTGCAGAAAATCCCCATTATGTTTTGGGTAAATTATACTAAACCTCCAATAACTTTCTTCTTTTTATGTTGTTTTTTGGTTCGAATTTATAGGCGCTATCTGCAAAAAACAGAAACTTATTGGGCGGTTTTTTGCAATTTCAAAAGTTATTGGTGGATTATTACGATTTTGAAAGTTTTTAGGGGTTTACTGCAAAACACTGAAAGTTCTTGGGGATTTAGCATAATTTACCTTGAGTTTAAGTTATCTATTTAAGCAAACACTTATTTTTTCCTCTTCTGAAATGTTTTTAAACCGTGATGACCATGAACTGTGTCCTTAATGCTTCATTTTTTTTTCTTACACATTCTATTTGCACATGAATTAAATATACCTTTAGAATTCATGGTGAAGCTTTTCTGCTTATAGGCTGTGATGTCAAGTGATTTTGCAATAGCTCAATTCCGATTCTTGGAGCGTTTGCTGCTTGTGCATGGGCATTGGTGTTACAGACGTATTTCAGCCATGGTATGACAATTACTTCAATTTTAGCTTCTTGTAGTACTTGCGAAGGAAAACGAACCCTAGTAGCTTCACGTAGGTTACTTGCATATTTCATCTAGTCTTTCGTATCCATGTCCGACAATCCCCGTGTCAGTATCTAACACTCCTTGAACACTTTTTGAATATATACATAAATTTATTCAGACATGTACTTAGCATATGTTTTAGTTTAATAAACTCATTATACAGTTCTTGGATGCATATCATACACTACCTAAAATTTATGCAACTCATTGGACTTAGGACGTGTTCATTTTAGCACATTCTTAGTTCATAAGTATTGATTTTAAAGTGTCGTTTGGGTATCTAGTTAAAAAATGAGCGATTTTTCAATTTATAATCTACTCAATAAAAGAAACATCAAACTGGTATAGTGATTTTTGTTCTCATAACATGTGAATGGAAAAAAAATATCGTTCTTTATAGAATTTTCATTTTAATATGTATACATTTAGTTGTCTCCTCACATTTTGCCTTTTACAAATTTGCCGTGTCTCATATCCATGTCCGCACCAGCACCCATATCTGTGCAACATAGAACTTCACTACCTTCTACACTATTTTGACTGAAAAAATATGAACATATTCAAGGTCCTTTTTGTTATTTAATCATCTAGACATTACCTGATAAGTTTTACACTTAGATTCTCACTTTTCGCTGTCAGACTGAATGCAGAAAAAAAAAATTCATGTAGATGACTCCATATATTTGGAATTTGTGCTATTGCTATATGAACAAGGGAGTCTCCAGTATTCCTAATTTTTATGTGCTTTCCTAATTATTCTAAGTGAATTCAACGTGCAAGGACATATTCTCTATTCATGAGCGCCTAAGTTGCATGGGGTACTGGTACGTGTAGGGGACATGATAAATTTGTAAAAGGTAGGGTACGGGGACACAGCTATATATATGTATATTATGTATATTGATATGTATTAAAAGTAATAATTTATATAAGATCAATATTGTTTTTCATTTTCTTAAGACCAATATATAAGAAATAGATGTGCACCATAGAATATATGTCCAAGAAGTGTATGTGGATTATTTTAAGTTAAAGCATGTATTATATAACTGAATATACGCTTGAATAAACGCATGCATATATTCAAGAAGTGTCTAAGAAGTTTCAGTACGGGTATGGGTAAGGTTACAATACGTCTCGGGTACAGGTATGACTCCCAATTTGAAATACCCGGGTTACATAGACTGACACATGTATTTCATTTGTCCCTGTACATTATCACTCAAAAAGCCCTTCAACTGAAGAAAATCATGAGAGTTCACTATTATAATTTTATACTCCAAATTGACCCCACAGGTTGAGCTTCTTTCCACAGGCCGAGACCTGCACTATTTTACATAGGGGTGTTCTTCTTTTTAAATCTTCCTTAAATGCTTGTCTAATGGGATTTGAATCAGGGTTATTCTGATACCACTATAGAGTCATTTCCACTACACCAAAACTCCATAGTTGTTATGAGCGTTGAGGAATAAAATTTGATATCCAACAGTACCCAACTATCCATATACTGTAGCTCGCACAAATGTCACAAACATTTCTCTTTTCTATAGGACAAGATATAAAACTTATGATCTATTATGCTTTGCATCCCTCACAGTGGCGGATTCAAGATTTCTAAGAAGTGTCATTTTCGTATTTTCAGAAAGTATACAATCACAGCATTAGTAATGCTATGAATATATCTTTCTCAATATATGCTGCCAAAAAATTATGTTTTTTTCTTGCACAATTAATTTCACATTTTCCCTCGATTTTCATACAGTTTGAATGTTTTAAGCTCAATCTCATTATACGAGCATTGTAGATTTTAATCCTTTTGGAATAATTTCATTTCATCTACAATACCAAATCTAATAGTTTATGAGGCTAGCAAGATCAAATTCTTGACATCATTGAGTTATATTTTGTTGGGAACCTTGGGCTAACTGGTGTCATGTGACACCAGTTTGCCTAAGGTAGATCCGTTAGTGATCCCGCAAATGTCAATATCCGGTCAACATCTTACCCAATAACCATATAAACAGCTACCAAATTTTAATCTTCTTTTATGACTTCAAACTAAAAAAAGAACCAATAAAGTGATAGGACTAGATTCTAGAGGACAAACAACTTTCTGACACTATTTGTGATTAGTGATTACTACACTGAAGATTAAGCTTTTCAAGGCTTGAAGCATCCTTAACAAGCTTTAGTGGCAAGATGTTGAGTATCTTCCTGAATATGCCCAACTGAAGATAGTGAATGGTTTGGCTGCCTATCGTCCTGTGCAAGATTTTTTTTTTCAATTGAGATTCTTAAGGAAAAGCTTATCTACATAATCCTACAATTTGCATCAAACCTTTACAAGAGAAATACATGACAGAGATTCATCTGATGTTTCCAACAAATGGAAGCAGTAGTAAGTGAATTACTCTAATTAATCACTGTACTCCATTGAAAAGTAGGATTCCTCAGGTGGTAGTAGAAGAAAATTGTTAAGCCTTCAACGTGCGCATGAATGGCTTGTTCTGCATCGCATTTCTTCCAACTCCCAAGTAATATCAACTTCAAAAGAAATTATAGAAGATCTTGGCATTACTGAGTTTGAGAAGAGAAAAAAAAATTACATATATAGTAAGTATAGTGCATTTAGACGTGACCAATAAGATTTAACCAATATGCTAGATAAGTTGAAGAAAAGTGGGAAAAAGCAGTTTAAACAATTGTTGTACATAGTATGAAAATTTTATTGAAACGAGGTATTTTGACACTTTTTAATACCACAACGCGTTTTCAGATATTGTATTGTAAATAGTTAGGTTGGATAAGTACAAATGTTTCTGGTAAATCATTGAATATATTTAGTGTAGTGACTTGCCTATCCAGACCAATCCATTTCATTGAGATTTGGCAATGTTTTAGCTTGTTGTCAACTGGTCCACTACCTAAGCAATTCGCTTCCTTAAACCTAACTTGGGGTTGAGATTGAAAGAACAAGTCATTTAAGTAGAACAGTTTATAGCTTCTGAACGTATAATCACAAAGAAAATGTAGTCAAATAACATAAAAGAAGCTTCCATTATGTGGTAATAATGTTTTTCACATATCAGGAAAGTGGCAGAAGTGATGAAAAACGTTTTGACTGTCAGAGAAAGCGAGTTTTGAAGGAATGAGAAACTTCAGGGGTGAATAAGCCAAAGGCATCCGATAAATGGTTGATAGAAGTATTGGAAATAATGAAAATTCTGAAAAAATAAGTAGCAAGAAAGAAGTTACAAAGCAGTCAGCAAGGTAAGCTACAGGTTATTCATAATTTATATTATATAATAAGATTGAAACTAAAGAGGGATACATACACGAGCACGGTTTTGGTTATCAAACCAAGCATGTGAAAGGCGAAAATGCCGAGACAATGAAGTTGGCTATTAGCTTCTTGTCAGCCATCTAAGCTTGCTTTTTGAAACTGTGTTTCGAGCAATATTCTCAGTCCTACTTAAAATTTGGATTCTAAGTCTTAAAGTTTCTGCCACCACCCAAACTTTAAAGTTATGGTGAAGATTTCTAGTTATAATTTTATATTCTAATATGTTTCCACAAGTTAAGGGGTGTTTCATGGGCTGAAACCTGAACTCACAGAGTGTATTAATTTTTAATACGCATTAGAAATTTGTGACCAGTAAGAGCCGAACCTGAGTTGCTCAGAAACCATTTTAAATTTACTTCTATTACATGAAAACTCCAGAGATATGATGAGGGTTGAGAGTTATTTTATATACTAACACTAATTATATGGGAATAACGACTAGCATGCGAATTTATTTTGATATGTTATAAGGCTAGTTACAGTCCAATTTAATGGTAGTGGCCCGAGGGCCAAGATGTATTCTGTTTCTTCTTAAGTAGTATTGAGTCTCTTTTAATGCTTAATGCTCTACTTTGCACTGATTTTTAGCATGCCAAAGCTTGTCACTGTCTTCTGACTTGTCTGACTAGAAAAACCAATTCAGATTTCACTACGATCATATTCCCTTTTATCTTCTCTTTCTCTCTTCATAACTACTCTTTGGTCTTTAGAACCGGTAAGACGCAAATGATCTTCAAAGTTTTTCCTTTAATATTACTTTGTTCAGCTAATCTTCTTTTTAACATCGGTTGTTTCTTAGTTCTTCTATTGATGTCCATTTTTATTTTTACTCTTTAGGATTGTATGCTCCCGCCCCCCTCTAGTGTGTCCTTCATGCCAAGAACTAGTTTTGGTCCTTGGTAGTGAGGTGACTCAATCTCATCCACTCATCTAAAGTGGGGACCATTTTCAAATGAGTTTAGTAATTAGGGAGACCATTTTCGAGGGGGTCCCACTACCAACGACTGAACATAGGGTCTCTCATATTATCATCAAAGAGCATCCTTTCATTGCCTTTTGCTTTCTGTTTTCACCAGTGTCATGTTTACATTTTTATCAGTTTAAATCTTTTATGTTGTTTAAATTATTTCTTTGGGATGAATTTCTAGCTATCTGTCCAACATGCCTCTTCAGTATTGTCTTACGGAAAATGAGATTAGAGATAATTTTGTATAATGGTTGCATATAAATAAGAGGGAATTGTGTATATGCCTAATGGTTGATACAAATAAGAGATAATTGTGTATATGCCTAATGGTTGCATATAAATAAGAGATAAATGTGTGTATGCCTAATGGATGCATGTAAATAAATTTGCCTGTTTGTAAGGTTTGAATAGAATAAAATTTAGATAGGTCTTTATGTGCTCAGAGCAGAAATATTCAATAAAAGTTTTAAATAGGTTAAAGGATTGGAATATGGACCTAAGCAATTTAAGTGTATTGAGAAGCATCAAATGTTTTAGTAAGGGATTTGGACAAGTGTCTTGCTGTAGCGATGGATCAGAGGTTCATGTGGGGTCAAAAACTAACTTAAAAATTTCCTTGTCTGCCTAACATGTCAGATTGTCCTAACTGAACTTTATCTGCCCAACCAAGTAAGCCAACATAATGAGTCTTTTCTGTACCCAGAATCTGCTGTTTGGAATGTTCAGGATAATATGTGATATTGGCTTGCTTCTGTGGTGTTATGTAATTGGTGACTTTAGGAGGGTTTTATTACATGGATATAATGTGCTAACGCTGGTTTCACCATTTCAAATGACAAATACTATTAACTAAGATAAAATGATCGTAGCAGAGTTGAAATACTCTAGGTGGCACTGTCAGATTATAAAAAAGAGCAGAAATCTGGTACAAGTAGGGGTAATTGTGAAACCCCCACTAAATGTTTTTGAAGATTCAGATATTCCTTTAAACGCCATACAGATTCGATCTCATTATTTTTCTTCCTTCCTTGGCTTCAGATAACTTTATTTGTTCAATGCTTAATTTCTTCTTGCTGCTGGTACGGCTGAGTTAAGGAAGGAGAATGCGTTTGGTAGACGAGGAGCAGTACAAAAATTTGTCAGACTTACAAAATTGTTTTAGACATTTCCTTCAGACAAATGATGTTTAGTTTTGAAACATTATATTTTCCTGCTAGTAGTTTTTGCTACAAGTCGTCAGTATATTATGCTGATTTATAATGTGCTGTTCGGAAGCCTCAAGTTGTGGAGTATGATTGGTTTTTCTTTTCTGTATTATGGCCCTTGATTCATCTTTATGAAAAACTTAATAAGCTTTTAAATATCTTTATGTTGATTTCTGCTCCAGTTTGACTGATATTACCATCCAGCTCAATTTTGCTTTCTGTGTTTAAAATTTAAGGTTCCCCCCAATATTAGTCCCTGAAATCTTTCAAATTTTGAATAGTCCCTTATATCATTGAAATCGCCATTAGGTCCCCCTCTTCTTTAGTTACTTTTAAATTAGTCCCTCAAATCATTGAAATTGTTTTAGGTTCCCTGATTATCATAGTTGTTTCAAATTAATCCCTCTAATTTTCACTTCTATTCTTGATTGGAGAGAATAATTTCAAAATAACATGAATTAGGTGACCTAATAGAAATTTCAATGATTTGAAGGACTAATTTCAAAATAACCTAAGAATTGGCAGATCTAATAGCAATTTTGATGATTTGAGGGGACTAATTTCAAAATATGAAAGATTTAAGGGACTAATACTGGAAACCCCTAAAATTTCTTATGAATAAATGGTTCGAGTTTTAAATATAATGCAGATGTTTCTTATGAATGCTTACCTTATAAACAAGGTTAATGAACTAGTTTTCGTTCTGAATGTGGGTGGCTACTCTTGTATGTCATGTTATGTTGGATTACTTCATGGGAAATTCTTGATAGGCATGACTGACATTTCATTTTGTTTTTTTTTCCATGAACTCAGATATGCTACTTTTTCTACAAGAACATAACATTCGGCTTCACCCTCTTCTGCTTTGAGGCTCATACATCTTTCTCAGCACTACCTGCATACAACGACTGGTTCATATCCTTCTATAACATTGCCTTTACATCATTTCCGGTGATTGCTCTTGGCGTCTTTGACAAAGACTTGTCCTCACGTCTTTGCCTCAAGGTATGTGGTGAAATAAATTTAGTTCTTAAGTTTCCAAGCACATATATCTGCAGCTAGAGGAAATAGCTTGACCTATCCCATGAACATGTTCAGTAGAAATTTCATGAGTATTAATGCTAATTTTGAGTAGAAAGATGTATGTTAACAAGAAATGTTGTTGGTAAAGAAATGGGTATTAGTGACCAATTCCTGCCACACAACTGTTTGCAATTGAATGTAAAAGGCTTGTTAACGGTTGAACACATGGAACACCACTTTGCGGTCAACTTTGGTCACTTTCTTTGTCCGATCCACCACTGTTTGTGTGCACATGTGAACATACACATGCACATGTACATAAATAGATCTCTAGTACGTGGTTAATAGTGAGCAAAAATCAAACAAGTGAAATTCAGATGGGTATGATTGCAGAATTCGTTTGAAAATTGCAATTCAAATCCTTTGATCTCTTCCATCAGAAAAAAGAACTTCAACCTCTATTCAGTTTCACTCATTCAATTATGAAACTCTTGCATATGTGAGATGGCTTCATTACTTGAGAAACAAACGTGATAATTCTGACTGTTAGATAATAAATTTACTAAAGCAATTAATCTTAATGTGATTTGAGGCCCCATATCTCTGGCAACCTAAAGGTTTAGACATATTCTTATTTTCCCAATCTAAGCTTGCACCATTCGAAGATGAGCATTAAACTTCTTCTAAACCGGCATCCTGTGCAAAGGCTAAAGCCAAGATGAAATATTGTAACACCATCTTCGCAATGGTATGTGAAGAGTTTTTACAAGTCCCTTCAATGACTGATTCTGAGGAATAGAAGGTTGCCATGACCACTTAATTGGACCAAAATCTACCAGCGGGGATGAGATCTGTTAGTGGCTACCTGAAGAATTATGATCAACCGGGACCTTCCAAGAAGGCTGAACCCGCCAAGCAAAAGGAGACAGAGTTCGACAAGGCATTGCGGCCACCATACGCTGGACGTGAAGTCCCATTCAAGTGCGATATATTATTAGCCTAGTTGCCAACATTCCATCTCGTATAAGCTTGCACGAACTTTTATGTTAATCTAAGGATATGAGAAGCTTTGAGGGAGGCGTTGATGGACAATGAGGCGCTCTTCATGCACATGCCTGAGCCTCCACACGTTGATGATCAAAGACAATGCTATCATTGCCTGTAAGGGGTGCCTTGCATCATGTTCACACCCGTGGACATGCTCATCAATGATCCGAATCATAACCGACCCCTTTATAATAAAGGGTATGTCGGTTCGACCAAGGACGAGCAGATCCACATTGATCTTCGATCTGTCTTAAGCATCATCCCTCGGAGACTCCTTAGCTTCTTAGGCATTCCGCTCTACAAGCTCTTAAGAACAACCACTACTATCTATGGATTCAACTTTAGCGGTAGTCGATCATTGGAAAAGATTCATCTTAAATGTTAAATCAACGATTTAAAGACGGAGGTTACATGCTACGTCATTGACGTAGAAATACCCTATAACTTGCATCTAGGACGACCATGGATCCATTCCGATCGTTCCATCGACACTCCATCAGTGCTTCAAGTATGTTGATGAGTAGGGGGTACTCAAAGGGGTCTATGCCAAGAGCCACTCTTTTAAAGGAGTGGAGAATTACTTCACTAACTCCCTCTTTTATGATGAAAAGCATACAATCGAGACAGCCATTCCTAAAAATCTAGACAGTGGCAATGAGGCAAATAATGAACCTGATCTAAATGAGGACCTTATCTGGGAGATGGAGCACCTTGTAATTACTTTGGAGGATTCGTGTATAGACCAGTCTATTGAAAATCAAGAAATTGGGTTCTCAATGATAACATAGAATTTTCTTGCGACCGTTCCTCTGGCTTTGAGTATGAAAACTCAAAACCGACTTTACATATGCCCATAAATGAGTCTTATTCGATTCATCAACTGAGTAGCTCAAAAGATGCCACATTCACGGCTCCAGCCAAAAGAAGTGCACAAGAGGCTATCATCTTCGGGAAAGTCAAACCACAACCGCATCCAATAGTCCGAGATGACGAAGTTGAAGCAACGGCTGAATTTTCTCGTTATAGTAAGCAGTCTCGCTATATAATGGCGAAATTGGATTACAATTTCACCCTAAAATAATGGTTAAATTTTGACTAAGCATCACAGGTTCTACTAACCCTCTTCGTACCAAAAGGGGAAAGCATAGATTACTTCAATCGAACTAGACATGGGCTTGGATATATCTCCCAAAAATCCGACATACAACCAAAGCTTGAGAATCTACTAAGCTATTCTTCACACATCTAATTAGGATTCCGATGTTAGCATCAATATCATGTTCGAAGAATTCATGGTTAATATGGCTTTATGTAGCCAAACCGACGAACTTAATGAACCAGAAATATTCGATGATCCGGAGAATGACCTACACAAAGCACCGTGGGGCTTAATGGGAATTATGTCTTGAACCACGTTAATTGCCCACTAAAGATAAGGTGATCCAAATCAATTTAGACGATGAAGCTAACCCTAAATCTATCTTCATCAGTGAGAGTCTATCACCCACTATGAAAGAACTAATATCTCTCTCTTGAGAAAACATTGATATTTTCGCCTAGAGCTACGAAGACATGGCCGGCGGACTAGATCCGAATGTAGCCATGCACTGCGTCAATATTGACCCGTGTTAAATCTGTCAAGCAACAACGATGCTTCAGCCCTTAGTTGATGGAGCACATCGTCATAGAAATTCACAAAATTTTTGAATGTGGTTTCATTCGTTAAGAACAACATCCAGACTAGTTGAGTAATATTGTTGTCGTGACAAAGAAGAATGCGAAGATCAGAATATGTATCGATTTCAGAGATCTCAATTTAACTTATCCAAAAGACGAATTCCTCCCTATCATGGACATCATAATCAACAGTACATGTGGGTTTAAGAGGATGCAATTCATTAATAGCTTTTCTAGGTACAATCAAATCAAGATGCATCCAGATGATGAGAAATAGATAACCTTCAGAACACCATTAGGGTATGATATTATAGAGTAATGCCATTCGGTCAAAATAACGTTGGAGCTACCAATCGGCATGCAATGAACACAATCTTTCGTGAGCACATAATGTAGTGGAATGCTACGTCAACGCGCGATCAAAAGTAAATGCAAATATTTCCTTAATGACTTAGAACAGTGTTCAATATCATGTGAAAGCATCAACTCAAGATGAACCCAACAAAGTCTTTCCTGGGGGTATTATCAAGCAAATTCTTTGGATTTATCGTTACATCCAAAGGGATACTTGTCTATCCAGAGAAAGTCAAAGCCATCCAGGAGATGTCACCCCCGAGAAATCTCAAAGAACTCAGAAGCTTACAACAGCGTTTAGTCTATATCCGTAAATTCATTGCTAATCTGTCTGAAAAATGCCAACCATTCCAAAGGTTGATGAAAAGGACGTTTGTTCGTTTAGGACGATGCCTGTCAAAAAGCTTTCGACGAGATCAAAGAATATCTCATGAAGTCACCCATTTTAGCCGCGTCAGTATCAGGTTAATCATTCCTTATCTATATTAGAGCTATGGATCATTTTCTTGGAGCACTACTTGCTCGGAAGAATGATGACAGTCACGAACAAGCCATCTATTATCTAACCTGGACTATGATAGGTAATGAGCATCGTTACAATTTGATCGAAAATGAATGTCTAGCATTGGTCTACGCAATGCAAAAAATACAACATTACCTAACCGACCAATCCATCCACGTTATTTCGAAGGCTAACCCTTTGCGAGTACTCATGACAAAGCCAGGATATGTAGACTTCAGGCTTGCAAAAGAGGCAATATTGCTTTTTCAATATGACATGACATCCTTACCTCAGAAGGCAGTTAAAGGACAAGTGATTGCAGACTTCCTCGCTGATCATCCTATCCCTGAGTCTTCCAAGCTCCACGAAGACATTCCAAACGACGTGTTTGAATCGAATGTCACATCAGACCACTAGTGTGGCAACTTGACTTCGACACATCGCATTGCAGTTATAAGGGAATGATCATCGCAGGTGTGGAGGTAGTGGTTATTGATCCCTACGGTCATGTCCTTTGCTTATTGATCCCTATGATCACGTCCTTTCTCGGGCCTATTCACAAATTGAGCAATGTTCTAATAATGTGGTTGAGTACAATGCCCTTATAGTCGGCTTATAACTTGCCCAAGGCGTGAGTGTGAAGTATCTTGAAGCATGTGGCGATTCTAAATTGATCGTTAATCAGATAAAAGGGGAATCTGAGCTCCGACACAACGATTTCTGGCCCTATCATGAAGTGACACTGAAGCTCAATCATCATTTTGAAGGTTTCTACATCAACTATGTAGCTCGCCTTGAGAACACTTACGTCGATGTTTTGGCTTACTCGAAGCTACCATAGGCTTGTCATCCAAGTCTACCAAGCGCATTATGGTAGCTAATCATCAATTATGTTATCCTAAATAGATCTTAGAAAGCCAATGAGGTCCATACTACACTTGGGGTTTCGTACCTAATGATTGACATTACCCAATCGACTATGTCTTACACGATATATTGCATGATGATCCGAAGCAAGCAATTTCCATTTAAAGAAGAGCCTCATGCTTCTTTTACGACTGCCACACAGACATTGTACCACAGATCGTTCGACAACATATTGTTTGGATGCTTGTAGTCGAGCGAAGCTCAAGAAGAGCTCAAAGAAGCCCATGATGGCACATGTGGAGCTCATCAACTTGGACCTAAACTCTAGGATC